AGTATATAAAGTGGATCTAAAGAAAATCGTGGAAACATCTGTTAGTATCGAAGTCAGCAATGTCGTTCATAAGTATATTCTCTTTTTTGTGTAGACCTATATTATATTCCTCATAAAGGTTCAATTCGTTTGACTTCTTTAGATTTATAATCAGTTTGACATTTTGAAATTGTATTCTGTGTTTTTGTTCTTGTATGTGTTTATGAACGGCTGATCTTGAACTGGACAAATGTTCTTTGAACCGAGTGTATATATTTCTTCCCGTTTGGCCGATATATATTTTATTGCATTCCGGACATTCGATTTTATAAACACCACTTAATTCCTCTTTTCTATGTTTGGCTTTATTATTAATTAAAAAATTGCTAATTTTGTTATGAGATACAAAAGCAGGGGATAAATTATATTTTTGTAAATTGTGGTTCAGTTTATTTTCTAAAATAGGGTGAAATGGGAGTATTAAGAATTTTGAGATGTTTTTCATATTAGGAAAAATCAAGTTGTTAATTCTAGAACTATGGACCTTATTATAGATATTTTGTAAACTGTTTATAGAGTAGCCATTATTCATACCAATAGTAATTATCTTCTTGATTTCTATTTCTAAGTTATTTTGGTTCAAAGGGATGTTATAAATTCTGTTAAACATGAATCGAAAACTGGCATGTTTATGCTGTCTAGGATTATACGAATTGTTGGCAATGACATTGTCCGTAAATGTGTCTTTCCTGAAGATATTAAATTCAAGTTTTTGATTACAAAGATTCTTGGTAATGTTTAAGTCTAGAAAGTTAATCATGTTGTCTTTTTCCATTTCGATAGTGAACTCTAAGTTGGTAATATTATTAAAGATATTCTGTAATGCTATCAGATTGGCGGAATTACCATTATAAACAATTAGTATATCATCAACATATCGACTATAGAAAACATCTTTTGTGAACAGCAATTTTAACACCATTTTACACAAAGAAATTTACCAACAATATTTACAAAAAAATCAATACCCTCAAACACAAAATAAAAGAAAATAACTTGATAGTTACCCTTGGTGACAAGGGAGCTGGCACTGTCATTATAGACAGAACAGAATATATAAACAAGACTGAAAATGTCTTTGCTCTTAACTCTATAACAGAAATCAAGAATAACCCCACCATCCCATATAATAATAAATTAAAAAAACTAGTTAAAGATAATATGCCTTTTTTGAGTAAATTTGGTATTGATCACCATAACTCCTTCGAAATGAACCCTCTTATACCCTCCATGAAATGTTTAATTAAATTACATAAGCAGGACAAAAGCATAAGACCTATAATCGGGAATAATAATACACCAACTAATAGAATTGCGAAAACTATCCAAAGATTTCTATATTCAACTTTCAAAGGCACTTTCCCTTATTCTATCAGAAATTCCACCGAACTTGTAAATAAACTATCCACTTTGAATATCGACAATAACTGTAAATTGATCTCTTTTGACATCAAAAATTTGTATGCAAATATACCCATCACTCCAACCATCCAAATTATTAAAAAACACCTTATAGATAATATCATTGAATTAAATCTCGACCCCTTGGAAATCGACAGTTTCTTAAAAATACTTGAATTTACCTGTAATCAAAATTTCTTTACATTTGATAATAGATTTTTTAAAATGTCCGATGGATTACCTATGGGCTCTCCAATATCTGGGATCCTTGCAGATATATATGTCAACAAATTTGAACAGATACTTTTCTCTAACAAATATAAGCTTTTCACAAAAGATGTCGTTTTTTATAGTCGATATGTTGATGATATACTAATTGTTTATAAGGGTAATTCCGCCAATCTGATAGCATTACAGAATATCTTTAATAATATTACCAACTTAGAGTTCACTATCGAAATGGAAAAAGACAACATGATTAACTTTCTAGACTTAAACATTACCAAGAATCTTTGTAATCAAAAACTTGAATTTAATATCTTCAGGAAAGACACATTTACGGACAATGTCATTGCCAACAATTCGTATAATCCTAGACAGCATAAACATGCCAGTTTTCGATTCATGTTTAACAGAATTTATAACATCCCTTTGAACCAAAATAACTTAGAAATAGAAATCAAGAAGATAATTACTATTGGTATGAATAATGGCTACTCTATAAACAGTTTACAAAATATCTATAATAAGGTCCATAGTTCTAGAATTAACAACTTGATTTTTCCTAATATAAAAAACATCTCAAAATTCTTAATACTCCCATTTCACCCTATTTTAGAAAATAAACTGAACCACAATTTACAAAAATATAATTTATC